TTTATGACAGTGTAATGACAGTCTTATTCACCCCCCTTCAAATAAAGTGTTACCGCAATGAGTTCAGTTGTGAAGAATTTCCTTTGCAGATTTGATTTTAACTCAGGTAAACTGAAGGGTTTAGGAGACTCAACCAAGTCAAAGCACAGCATCTCAGATTATGGCTACACTACTTTAAAATCTTCATTTAGTCAGTCATTCAGAGGTAGACCTCCTGTTGGGCTTTAGATCATTATGTTGCTGCTAAACAGCAAAGGTTTGCTTCAGCTTGAGGTTCTGAACTGATAGCTGGACATTCTTTGATGCCCTTTGCTTAAATGAATGACATCCTGTGGTGGCCCCTGGACTAGCAGTGAAGCAGGGGCTTCATATCAGATAAGGTGATTAGTTTGCAAAGCAAAAAAGCATTTCACACACCATAATGATGTGTCACAACAAAACTGCTCAACATTTTCAAGTTTTAATTTCACTGAACTAATTAACAAACCAAAGGAAAATGTTCTGGTTATTGTGGTGGGGAAAAGTCTGCAAGGCCTTTGATCTGAAGCTGTATTAAAATGCTATACATTTCAAAGAAATACAAAAATCTTGCAGTAATTCTACTCCATGGTTCTATTTTCTTTTCATATTGAGCTGCTTTGAAAATGCTTTATAGTTCTAACTATAATAAACTTTTCCATCAAAAGTAGTAACCTTTGACCTTTGAGATCTAAAGGGCATTATAAATAAAATCTATTTATCTCTATTATTATTATCAAAGATCATCTGCAGCAGGTTGATGAGAAATCCTCACCTCATCAGCCAGAAGGGAGAGCTCACTCGAATCAGCAGCATCATAGTCATACAGAACTTTGACCTTGCGGGTTCCCGTAGCTGGTGCCTGGACCTCTTCAATCTTCAGCGTCTCAGTCTCCACTGGGCTCTCTGTGGCTTCTGATGCACCGGCTGCAGCAGCCACGGAGTGAGTAGAGTTCAGTGCGAAGGCATTGGGAAGCCTGAAGGGCAGGAGGCACACATGATGGTCAGAGATGAGGCATGGTATGCATGTACCTCAAATATGAAAAACCAAACCAATCACAGAGAACTCACACACCCAGCTGTGAAAGCTGTATGCATCGTAGAAACATGAGGAAATCATGTACCGCTGAAAGCAATACTTAAGATATTTATGGATAGCACAACAGACGCACATCCCTAATCAATACATTGGAATTAATCAAAAGTACCTTTTGAAAAAAACCTTTAAGAATGTATTAAACATACTTTTCATTAAGCTCGTATTTCTATTTCAAAAAATATTTTTAATGGTCTGGTGTAATATTCTAACCCTGAATGTCATATTTTCATCAGAAAAGCTATTCTAATAGTTGAACTGATCATCAATAATATTCTGATTTATTGAATGTGTCAGTCCTGCTGGTGTTTGGGTGCAGCTTTAGAGATTACATTTACATTTACGGTGTTCCACTGGGAGCAGTGTTTGGACCAGGATGCTTCACTTAATGTAGGTCTAAGTAGAGTTCCCATATTGATACTGATGTTGCTCAGCTACATTTATTGTTGAAGACTGATGCATCCAATGAGTTAATTAGACTACTAGCATGAATTAAAGACATTACTGCCAGGATGACTGACATTTTGCTTTTAAACTCATACAACAGAAAAGCTGTCATCTTTGGTCCAGAGTCTTTCCTTAGGAACCTTAAAAAAATACAATTATGTCAGTTATTTACTCTGAGTGCCATTAATCTGGCCTCCAGTACTAATGTGACTATTTTAACCCGTTAAATACAGTCCACATTTGATGATAAACACTGAAAATCATGTTAAATTATCATAAATTCAACAACTTTAAAAAGAAAAAAAAACATTTTGACATGAGCAGACTTCTTCATATGGATGTGACCCTTTTTTTTCTCAGCTCAGAGTAATTGAGAAAAAAAAAACTGGCTGCACTGGCTGCAGGAGACGGCAAAAACAAACAAGGATTCCCAAAGGGACTAACACAAGGCAACAGTGATCCAATACTTCTTGGGAGCAGATGCATTAAAGTAGGATCAGGTAAAGATGTTAAAAAGAGAAAAAATAAAATAAAAAGAGTGATACTCACACATCCTCATCAGAACTGAAAGCACAAAACAGTAGAAATTATTTGTCATAATTTTTTTAAAGAAAAAGGAACTAAAGCCCACATCCTTATCAGCGGTCTCACCGAGGATGTATCCAAGAATATTTTTATGTTGAGACTGATGGAAAAGAAATTAATAACATACTAAATTAAACTATTTTGAAGAACATAAAACAAAGAACTACATGCTGCAGATGGACAATATATCAGACAACTACAACTGATGTGTTGCAAATGACTGCTGTGATGGAATATTTGGTAGGCTATTGTTTTTTTAAGTGGGAGGCATTCATTCTATTGTTCATGGCAATATCTATGGACTCCCCTGGACACAGAGTTAAAGGGCCAAAATATTAAAGAGGTTTATTAGAGGAGTTTTGAAAAAATATCAACTTAAAAATGACGTTTTTCAAATCCACAATTATTCTACACAACACCGTACCGTAGTACAGAATAACTAGATCCATTGCTTTAGAACCGACTAGAACATGTTCAGTAAACCAGAATTACAATCAATCTAATTTTATTACAACAGTCACTACTGAACCAAAGTGCTTTCAATTAGTGCATATAGTAGTGCACATATATTAGTGCAGTTCCATAAAAATAGACTAGAATAAAAACAGATAAAAATAATCAAAATCAGTAAAAATATTAGAAGTGCCACAGTGTGACTATGTGTTAAAAGCAGTTTTAGCTTAGCTTTTACATAAAAATAGGTCATTGGTGGTTTGCAAATCAAAAGGTGATGAATTCCTCAGCTTTGGACCAGCTGCAGCAAATGAATGATCACCGTACTGTTTGAACTTTGACCTGAGGACTTCCAGAAGATGTTGATCAGCAGACCGAAGAGATACAACTAGGCAATGTGCTTGTTGAAGTCACTTAAATAAGAAGGTGGAATGTCACAAAGAGCTTGAAAAACACCAATTAAAAGTTTAAAGCAAACTCTAAAAATGCACTGGGAGTCAGTGAAGAGAGTAAAGGACAGGCATGATGTAACTGGGTCTCCAAGTGTTGGTCAACAGGAGAGAGCAGCACTCTGGACCAGTTGGAGCTGACTGAGGGAACCCTGGTTTATAAAGTGCATTATAATAACTGATACAGGAGCTGAAGAAAGCATGTGTACTCTTTTGAGTACATGCCTCAAAACGCTCAAAAACAGCAGGATGTGCAGAGATAGTTGCATTGCTGCTATTGTTTCTCCTGTTTGAGACAGTGCTGTCTTTTGACCTTATAAGGATTGTAGTTCTTTGTTGCAACAATAATGTGGTTTATTAAGCACAATAACACATATTTTATGTATATTTGTTGGTTATAGTGTTGCAGGGAGAAATGATAAACCAAACAGCTAGAGACATGAACTAGATCAAGCAGGATGCAAAGATTGAGAGCAGCAAAATTAAAACCGTTGAGTCCATTTCTGTACGGCTGAGCAGCACTGAGCTCCCGCAGCATGACGGAGCCGCTGAACAGGACGCCGTGTTAAATGATCCCCGTCATGAAATTCATGGCCAAAATTTCCACAAATACACAATCAGACACTCCCTCTTCCAACATTTTCAGTTAATATAACCTGGAGTCATAAAACATATTGAAGCTGATTAAGTTAGAATTTAATCTTTAACATTCTAAACTATGTGCCTTTTAGCTTGGGTACAAAGTTCACAAGCTGATTGCAGTTAAACTCTTTGGTCATGTGATGGGGAACAGCTGTGCTTTGGGATCAGCTCTTCCACTTTCTCTCACCTTCCCAGCTCTTTCTGCAGCTCCAGCATATGAAGATGACCCTGCTTATAGTAAGCGGCCTGGGCCTCCACAAACTCATGCAGACAGCGCAGGTGGTTCACCTGTCAAGACAACAGTCCAACAGTTACTTCCTTGAAAAATTCTTAGTTGCTTTAAACGCCAGCAGTGAAATACACCACCTGGCCAAGAAAAAGCTGAGTTGAATTAAGCACATAGATACCAGCCTCCTATTCAGCTCTGACTCCAGAGGAGTTTAGCTGGGGTGGCATTGGTAAACAAACTTTAATATAAATACACAGATGTTTATGTAACTTTTCAATAAAATTACCATGTTCATTAATACATAATAAACATGGTTTATTTTGTATTAAATGAACCATGTGACATGCATAAAATGTTGACATGTATAAAATATTGCTCACATTTGTATAAACATTAGCTCGTATGTTTCAGAAGTTTAATTTTTCCAATCTCTGAAGTCTATTTCATTAAATGCAAAGTCAATTTGCTCAAGTAAAAGAAAAAAGTAAAGTGCAGGAAAACTACTCTTATCAGTACTTTTTCTCCCAAAAGGTTATTCAAGTAAATGTAATCAGTACTACCCATTTTTGAACATGGACAACAACAATATTAGTATAGAAGCCCATTCTTGTTAACAAGCTTAACGTGATATCTTAGCATTAGCCAATCATCATTTAGTCAACATTATCTGCATTCAACAACATTACTTAACTTATTCTGCTGCTTTGGGACAAAAAACTGTGCAAAACTCTTTGCCTTTTGCTGGTTTGCTGTCATGTTTCTAACACACACCTGTGTCTGCACAGCAGCAGCAGGTCTCTGGTGTTAAAACCAGAACAAACATCTTAGTACTTGCGTTTCGTTCAAAGGAGGCTCGGAAACGTACGTCACAATATGTTAAAAATAGATAAACAGTTGTAATGGCTGAAAACCAGAATTGTGGGAGTCCATACTGTATCAAATCAAAATAAGAATAATAGAAAGCTGGCCACTCGGAGATAAAAATGAAAAAAATTGTTTCCAGTCCAGGAGGGGCATGACTGTGAGTGAATATTTTTAACTATTAGGCCACAAATTATTAAAGTTGTTTTTTTAAGTTATTTAATCCTAGCTGATGCAATGAGGAGCTTCTCATTTCTTAAACAATCATGTGGAAAGATGCATCCTGTGGTTGACAAGATGTTAGTCTGTTTGAGAAGGGTTATATCAAGCAGAGCAAACATCTAAGATTAGAAACTGGAAGAAAAAGAAGAAGGGCACTATCATCTTCGAGGAAGAAGTCTGGTCAGAAAAGTACTCCAGAATAAGCTTGATTAGTGAGAAGAACAACAGTAGAACTCAGGGCTGTGTTAAGAGCATTTAGACATGCAAAATGCAAACTGCAAACTGAACAGGTATTCAATAAATTAGGAAAACAACCGTGAAAACCCCTTCAACCTAAATGTTTTTCTATAATGAATGAAACAGAATAAGTAGGGTGTGTGTGTGGGACCAGTAATCTGGTGGCTGACCTACATGCGTACTACTGATGCCTTCCAAAAGCAGCCGTGTAACTTCTGCCTGCCGATCGAACTCCGTCTGAGCCAGCCTGAGATCTTGTTCAGCCTGAAACATCAAACCAAATCAGCTCATTTGTTAGACAAATCTAATATGTGGAAACCAAGTTGAAACTCTGATGCTCCATATATTCACACCTGTTAGAACTGCTTTAAAAAACACATAGCTTGTTCAGCCTGGTATGTTAAAAAAAAAAAAAAAAAAAAAAACAGAACGAAACTGTATATAACAACCAAACTGATGTACTTACTTTTTCCACTTCCTCAGTCCAGAGCTGATTGACGGATACGCCGAGTCAAAAGAAAAAAAGAAAAGAAAAACAAGTTTCAGCAAGACAATTCAGCTTCTGTCCCATTCCCATTATTTGTTTTCCCTTTGGGATCAATAACGTATTTTGAATTCAGGAAGGTAGGATGTTTATTGCTTTTATTCAAAAGCAATAAAATGACTTTGTTGGGTCATAGACGTCTACATCATAGGCTGTGTTGTATCAACTATTAATGAGATACTGCATTCAGTGCAGTGTATTAACGAAGGTTTCTCAGCACAATGCTGATTTATTGAATTAGTACTTTGTAATATTTGCCCATATAACCTATGAGAGCAGTTGTAGCTTCAGAGCACATTCCAATCTGTTAAAGTTCTGGGCAACATGGAAAATGAAAGCAGTACTGGAAAGTTTGCCACACAGTCAAGTCGACTGTGTGACAGTCAAGTTTCCCAGCCAGCTTCTCCAGGAAACGGACAAAACACTGCTGCTCATTTCCACAATGTACGAAACCAGTGCCCACACAAACGGAGCCCATCCGTCACCTCAATTACAAACTGGTCACTGTCAAGACAAGTCAAAGCAGTCTCTGCTACACAATCACAAGCTTTATGCCTGTGTTTTGACCACAAGCCAGAAGGAAATAAGTGCTTGTTGAGACCTGGGATTAATATCAAATCTGATCACATCTGAACAGATCTAGCTACTGGTGGGAATGCACTCTAAAACCTTGTGAGGACAGTTTTCTTCCAACCACCTTCAGGACACAATCTGTGGGCTGAAGGACAACTCACTGTCCTGTTGTGACTTCTCTCAGGTTAAAGAAATATTAGCTGGAGGTCTTAGAGTTCAAAAGAAAGCAAAAATAGCCTTACAAACACTCAATTACTGTTGTTAGCTGATTTAGGAACTGCCAGTATTTTCGGATGTCAATTGGGAAAAAGTTTCATGTTTAGATGGCAGCTTGAGTTAGCTGTACTTGACATGAGAAGCCACTGGATGGCGCTGTAATTTAAGGAGGTCATTGAACACGCTTTTCGCCCTGAGCATTAGCCGGAATAAAGATTAATTGTAAATAGTAACGTGTCTCTCATAAACAAAGTACTCATGTATTCCTCATCAAGAATTGTGCTAAATGGAGCAGGATAAGTAGCACAACACAGCCCAGTACAATCCGCCATTGTTTTTGTTGCTACCTGCCCGTGAATGCGTAGGATAAACCCTACAGCCATGTGCTCTGTGCATGTGGAGTACTTCACACCTCTGTGGTGGGCGATACAGAAAAGTTTCACTCAGACACCTGGTTTGAAAAAGTGCTGGGGTGAGAGAGTCTGGTCACTGGTGTCGTGTAAATGAGTGGCTGTATCGCAACAAAGATGTAATGGATTAACTGAAGAGCGGCTCTGTGTAAATGGGGCCTTCGCCCGTCTACCGTCACCGGATCAGCCAGGACACACAGAGTGCCAGATGTGAGCAGGAATACAGATGGATTAGATAGGACATTGTTAGCAAACTAAAACAAACGTTTCTGTGCCAGATCTTCATTCCAGCTAAAATGCAGACTTTGATTCCTGTTTTACTACATTTTTATGAGAAATTGTCAGCAAATTGAATTTCAATGTGTAAAAAACAAATATATGAAAATGAGAGCATTTTCAGTACCAAAATACAAAGATCAAAAAGGATTTTGAGGACTGACTCAAAGAGGCCAGAGGGAGGATACTGAATTATTCAAAATATTCCTTTGAAATTACAACCAACGCCATGCTACACCGTGTTCCACCATCCGGATTGATGACAATCGTTCTTATTGTTTAACACCAGGACATTATGACAGTCAGACTGTGGTATGAGCCATGCTGCTTTAAATTAGAGGTTGGTAACAACGTGTCCCAGCACAGTACTTCTTGTGAACATAAACACAGGCATCAGATTAGAGTTTATGCTGAGAAGATTACTGTGGAATGGCTTCCTACTACTTAAATGTACATTAACTGGGCTGCTGCATATTTTCTCTTAATGTTATGACCACTTCCTAAATGTCAGAATGCTGGAGAATAGAGATGTGCCGATCAGGTTTTTTCCTCCCGATACCGATACCGATCACCACGAGGGCCGATCACCGATGACGATCACAGATACCGATCACATAA